TTAGTTTTTTTTAAATTTTCTCAAAAACTAGAGGAGCACCTAATTTTTAATTGGAGGCCCTAATTAGCACCTAAAAAGCACTTAATTATTATATAGATCCCGAAGTTTTTTTGCCATTCTGACACACCAACAAGTAGACGTAAAGCCAGCAGTCCCTTAATAATTAAAAAAAAATCTGTAACTCAGTTAATAATTAATCAATTCTATTTTTTCCTCGACTATTTAGGAGCACCTAATTTTTAATTAGAGGCCCTAATTAGCACCTAAAAAGCACCTAATTATTATACATATAGATCCTGAAGTTTTTTTTTTCATTCTGACACACCAACATGTAAACGTAAAACCAGCAGTTCCTAATAATTAAAAAAAAAATCTGTAACTCAGTTAATAATTAATCAATTCTATTTTTTCTTCGACTATTTAGGAGCACCTAAAAAGCACCTAATTCTGATACAAAAAAAAATTTTGGAAAAATATTTTTTATCATAGGGGACTACTAGCTTTCATAAACCTAGCAATCCCTTAGTTTTTTTTTGATTTTCTCAAAAACTAGAGGAGCACCTAATTTTTAATTAGAGGCCCTAATTAGCACCTAATTATTATATAGATCCCAAAGTTTTTTTTTCATTCTGACACACCAACATGTAAACGTAAAGCCAGCAGTCCCCTTATAGTAGAATCAATGATGTCGAACAGTACGCACGTATGTGCGTCCTGTAGCGATAATTTTATAGTACCTAAATACGAAACAGATTGCGTGTAAACTATGTAGTAAAAAGTATCATGTACATTGTGCCAAATTAAAAGATCAGTTGGTAAAAACAATAGGCGAATGCAGGAATCTCTTTTGGTTTTGTGATGTGTGTGTTGATAAAGTTAATATTAACTTAGATGTTACTGAAAGCCTGTCGAAATTGGAACAAAAAATCGAAGAATGTAAGGTAAATACAAAGGAAATTATTAAAAATATGGGAGAAACATCTGTAGTTAATAAAAATGAACAATGGTCTAGTGTCATAAAAAGGAATCCACCATTGATAATTCGCCCAAAAAACGTAAACCAAGATAGTGCTACAACAAGGAATGTTTTGGAGAAAAAAATAAAACCTTCAGACTTATCAATTGCAATAAACAAGGTAAAAACTGCGGGCAATGGATGTATTGTTGTGGAATGCGAGGACAACCAATCATTACAAATACTGCAGAATAAAGCAGTGGCGGAACTTTCGAAAAATTATGATATTCAAATTCCTAAAATGATAAATCCGAAAATTACTGTTGTTGGGGTTCGAGAGGAATATATTGGCGAAGACGATGCATTTATTCAAAGAATAAAAAGCCAGAATAGCCTTAAAGATGTGCAAAATGTGGAAGTAAAGCTGTTAAGAAAGTTCAAATCAAAAATCTTCAATAGGCATAATATATTATTAGAAGTGTCGCCAGAAGTTTTTAAAATTCTATTGAACTGCGGAAGAGTGTTTTTGGATTGGGATTCTTGCTTGGTTTATGAGCATTTGTCAGTTCTTAGATGCTATAAATGCTGGAAGTATGGACATAAAGCTGCTGTTTGTCGTCAGCAAGCCGTTGTCTGTCCCATGTGCAATAAAAATCATAAAGTTGAAGAGTGTCAATCAGAAATAAAAGAATGTACAAATTGTAGATATGCATGTGATGTTTTGAGAATTAAAGATATTAAATATGATCATTCAGTTTTCGATAAGCAGTGTTTGTCACATCAAAAAGCAATAGAAAGGCTCAAAACGAAAACCCAGTATGTCTAGCAACTAAACAATTTAGAAAAAGATAAGACTCAAGGGACAAATGTTTTGATTTTGCACATAAATATACAGGGTATCACCTCACATATTGACGAGCTACGCCAGCTGCTAGATGATAAAACGCCAGTTGTATGTTGTGTGAGTGAAACGCATCTGACTTCAGATGTTGAAAAAAATGAATTTAGTATCGATGGATATACTGCAATATGCTGTAAATCTAATAGTAGGCACACCGGTGGAGTGGTCATTTATGTAATGAACTGGTTGGGATTTTCTGTTGTGCTTAATGACTCGGTGGACTATAACTTTTGGTCACTTCTAGTGGAATTGAAACTGACGCAAAAAAATGTTTTAATTGGTGCGTTCTACAGGTCGCCAAATGCAACTCCAGCTGTATTCCTTCAATACTTAGAAGATAAATTGGGTGATGAAATGATACATAGGCAAATGACAATACTTTTGGGAGACATGAACATTGACTGGCAAAAAAACAACAGTGACACAAAAAATATAAGAAATATTATTCAAAGTTCTGGTTTTAAACAAGTGATAACCAAGGAAACCAGAAAAACAAATACCTCGTCTTCTTTGATTGATTATATAATAACCAATGACTTCAATATGCAAGAGGTTCAGAGAAATTTTCCCAGCATGAGTGATCACGAAATCATTGGAGTGAATATTGAGTTGGATAGAGTGCAAGAGGAGGTACAATCCTTTTACAGTAGAAAACTAAATGATGAAAGTATGCATAATATTATTACTGAACTGATAGGAAAAGTGTGGAACTACTCCGCTGTGGATGTAAATAGTATCTATGTAGATTTTGTAAATAATATTCAAGATGCTTTAAATAAAATTGCACCACTAAATAAAATTAATCCAAAAAAATGTTCTTGGATAACACAGGATATTAAACAGCTGCAACAAAAAAGAGATAGAGCCTACCAAAAATTTTGTATCACAAAACTAAACACAGACTGGGAATGCTACAAAAGATGTAAAAATGAAGTTGTATCCACGATGAGGAAGAACAAAACACGATATTATGAACAACATATTGATAACTGTAAAGGCGACAGCAAAAGGATGTGGAGAGCTCTGAAGGACTTAGTTGGGACAGGGAAACAATCTACTGATTTCACAGATATGAATTTTGACCATTATAATAGCTCTGTGGAAGAAAACTTCAATAATTTCTTTTCAGACTCTTTGCATGAAATTTCAAAGAGTATAGAGTATAAAGAGTGGGAAGACGTAAATTTTAATGTGAAGACAAACTTTTCAAATTTTCAGACCATAAATTTATCTCAATTAAAAAAAGCTATTTTTAGCTTGAAAAATAAAGGGTCGAGCGATGATAGTTTGAATATTAAACTGATAAAACAATTATTCTGTGTAATTGGATATCCTCTTTTGTACTTGATTAATGCCTCAATCACCACCGGAAAAATACCACATGACCTGAAAACAAGTGTAATAACACCTATCCCAAAAGTGAATAAACCAAAGGTTCCTTCAGAATTTAGGCCTATAAATCTTTTACCAGCTGTAGATAAGATAATCGAAACCATCGTCTGCAATCAACTGAGGGAGTACTTCGAGAAAAATCACTTGCTATTCACGGGTCAGTCTGGATTTAGAAGTCAACATTCCTGTGAGTCAGCGATTCAGTATGTATGTGCAAATTGGCGAGAAAAAATAAACAATGGTGAATTAGTGATTGCTGTTTTTGTGGATCTTCAGCGTGCTTTCGAGACAATTGATCGACAAATTCTTCTTAAAAAACTGGAATATTATGGTGTGGATAAATGTGCTTTAAGTTGGATTGATAACTATTTAAAAGACAGGTTTCATAAAACAAAAATAGCTAATAGGGTATCTCAAAAAAAGGAAAGTGTGCTGGGTGTACCCCAGGGAAGTGTCTTGGGACCACTTTTATTTATTATATATATTAATGATCTCCATAGGGCTTTGAAAAACTGTTTTGTTAATTTATTTGCTGACGATACCCTCATATCAGTGTCTGGAAAGAATTACCTAGAAGTTGTAAATATATTAAATAGTGAGCTAACTGTATTGTATGAGTGGTTATGTCAAAATAAATTAAAATTGAACTCCTCAAAAACAAAATGTATGGTGGTGGGCTCAGCTGTAAATTGTAAAAAATTTCATAATTTAGGTTTATCTTTGTCCATAAATGATGTAACCATAGAGTTTGTAAACGAAATTAAATATTTGGGTGTCATTTTGGATCCGCAGTTGAATTTTTCAATTCATGTTGATTATGTTTGTAAAAAATTAGGTAAAAAAATAGGTTTTTTCAGTAGAATATCTTATTGTGTTTCTGAATGGGCAAAAATGTTGATTTACAAGACTATCATTCTACCTCACTTTGCATATTGCAGCTCAGTACTAATTTCTTGTAACAAAGAAGAGGTGCGAAAATTGCAACTACAGCAGAACAAAATTATGCGTATTTTATTAAACTGTAGTAAGTATACACCGATAGAATACATGTTGGAAACTCTAAATTGGTTGAATGTTGAGCAGAACATTAGAAAGGCGAACCTTGTTCTAATTTATAAAATTGAACATAGCCTAATGCCGGAGTATTTGAATGCCTACTTAAAAAAACGATTGCAATTTCATAATCACAATATAAGATCCAAACAAAACTACAATCTTGGCATCGTGCGAACTTCAGCATTGCAAAAAACACTGTTTTATGAAGGGCTTCGCTTTTTTAATGAAATGCCTGATGCTGTGAAAGATTCACCAAATGTATATATCTTTAATAGGAGACTGTTTACGTATTTGCGCAATCAATGTTAATTTTTCTTTTGATGTAATTTTTGGATTTAGTTATAAGTAGCCAAGTGCTAAATAAAAATATTTTTCATTTCATTTTCATTTCATTTCATTTCATAATTAAAAAAAAAATCTGTAACTCAGTTAATAATTAATCAATTCTATTTTTTCTTGGACTATTTAGGAGGACCTAAAAAGCACCTAATTCCGATACAAAGAAAAAATTTGAAAAAATATTTTTTACTATAGGGGACTGCTAGCTTGTATAAACCTAGCAGTCCCTTAGTTTTTTTTGATTTTCTCAAAAACTAAAGGAGCGCCTAATTTTTAATTAGAGGCTCTAATTAGCACCTAAAAAGCACCTAATTACTATATAGTTCCCGAATTTTTTTTCCATCTTGGGACTGCTAGGTTTATGGACCTCAAATTTGTGAATAAGTTGAGGATAAACAAACAATATTGGATGTAAATAAAAGTATATTGTGAAAAAATATGTTTAAATAGTTCTTATTCTTTTTTAATGGTTATGGTTATTAGCAAGTTTTTGACAATGCCTCACTGCATCTTTCAATTTATAAACCAAATCCTGCAATTCTTGACCGGTACAACTGAATTCTATAAATTCAATTTTGGGGCCCTTCAATGTAGAATCGAACTTTTCCGTTTTCAGAGAAACTCTGAAAATTGGTCCTTCAGACTGGTCCCAAGTGCTCGACTTTACCATATAATCAATTTTCCATCTAACATCAGTAATGTGTGGTAAATAATTTCCAATGTTTAACAACTGCATTCGTATACTATTATAGCTTTCTTCGTAATATTTTTCTAATAGCTGAGCCCTATCCTTTTCGATATCACATTCTGTCAACAGAAAATTGGAAAATTCTTCACTAGATTGAGAATTTCTGACAAACTGTGCAAAAACGTACAGCAGTGAGGCATATAGTTGTTTTATTTCGGTTGTGTCATCTTGAGAGAGGCTTGAAATATCTGAAATTTCATTTGAATTACTGGGTAAATACTAGAAAATTAAAACTCTCACCATAGACTTCTGTGTGGCTTGATAAAGCTTTCGAACAGTTTTCCAATAATTTATCTAAAATTTCATCACTGAATTTTTCATTTTTGTTCAATAACTTGAGGTAATTTTTATGTTTTTCTTCAATATCCATTGCTATGAGTTCATTAAATTTTTTCCAAAAAAAGATAGAAATCAAGATGAGGTTATTGGGTTATTGTTTTTTTTGTTTGATTGTTGATTGTTTTGACATTCAACGTCATTGCCATTTGTCATTGCATGAGTTCTTTTCACGTGGCTCCGGTTTTTAAATTAGGCGGCTTGGGTTACGTAAAAAAAAAGTCTGGTTTTTTTTTAAAGATAATTCCCCAAGTCAAAAATTTATAGCGTTGGTAGAGCAAGTACAACACTGGTGCAATATTCGTGATCCATTGGCAGAGTCCGCGTTGCACTTTTGTATTTCATTGGGAAAGCAATGCACTGAGTGCTGTTGGTGCGCCACCGGCTAAAAAGCTCGTGTCGCACTCAGTGCAGTTGTTTATTGTCATTTTTGAAATTGAGGTTATTGGTGGTTTCCCAAATTTTATTTTTTTCTTGTGTTTTTTATATTTGTCTGCGAATTTACTACTAAAAATGTCAAATATCGCTTGTTGATGGCAATTGCCTTGATGGAAAGTAGCAGCAGCAGTGAAACCAGTGAATATGAAGAATATTTAGGACTTCTAGCAAAGAGAGAAGAAATTATAATTATTTATAATAAGCACAAATATCGTTTTTTTAATGAAATTCCATATTTGAGGTTTGACGTAGGTATATGGGATGGTGCAGTACGATCGTGTTTCTTTGGGACTGCACGATTGCAGTTTTTTTGAAGTGTCAGTGCAAAACGAGTGTTGCACTTGCTCTACCAATGAAATACGCCATTAGTAACTTAAAATCATTGTGCAACAGGCCCCTGGGCTGTCCGTCCGGTATTTTCTGAAAAAAAAAATGGCAACCCCATTGAAGGTCATTGAACCCAGTACTTTTGCACGAGTTTATTTGGACCGGTATCACTGGCGTAGCCAGGGGGCATTGTGCAACAGGCCCCAGGGCTGTCCGTCCGTCCGCCCCTGACCGGTATATAGTCTTTTTAAAGTCAGTTGAAACAAGGTAAAGGTAAATCACACGGTGATTGAATACTTTCATAAGAAATGCACTGCCACTAGTCAGCCACCAGGCCGGGGATTCTAAAATCACGATTCGACATACGACTCGATTTTTCCGACGATTCTAGGTTAGAATTCTCATTGGAATTATACCTTTCGAGACGACAAGGCCAGTATCGTTGTCGAGTCGTGTGTCGAATCGTGATTTTAGAATCTCGGCCCAGGTACAATTTATTTTTACCTTATTTCAATTGAATTTACAAAGACTATACCGACTCCCTGTGACGTCACGTTACTCCGTAATTGCTCTGCTCGCTTCGCGGAGCGTCAATCCAAACACGCCCATGATTGATAGGAACTAGGCGGCGTTCCGTATCTTGTCCAGAGTTACCGATCGGTATGGAGCGGTTTGTCTATGGTTGCATTCTGGTTCCTGAAAATGCGGTTTATGTGTGGAACGCTTCGGTTCAGCTTTGATTTGTTTTGGATGCTAGATGATGGAATATTATCCTCTTAAAAATATATTTGTAACAACCAATCGACATGAATGGATGTAATATTCACTTTAGTTCCATTTTCAGCGCAAATACTATACACTTCGAAAGCGTTAGTCGCTCCCGATTTGAAAGGAACAGATGCGTGGTACAACAAATACTTTTCGAAGGGATAGCGCGTAACGCCCCGAAGCTCCTGGAGCTCCTTCTAGGTGTGAAAGAAATAGAACTATGATGTATGTTGTCAAAAAAAAGTGTCAAGAACGTCAAGATGTATAAAGGCGATTCCGATTTCACATAAATTTACCTGGCTACGCCCAAATGCACCCTAAGGACTTAATCCAGATTAGTTGCTAAAACCAGCAGTGTTGCCAACGGGAAGTTATCAAAATGCTCCTCATTTGTAATGAAAACGCTCACATTATGCTCACATATACTAAAAATAACGTCAATGTCAAAATGTCAATAGTTTTCGAGTTTTCCCAGTTCATTGGTTTTCCCAGTATTAAGTGTGAGATTTCACATTTGACTACGGGATCACCAGGCTGATGTACCATCGTCACCAAAAGTATCTAGGACACAAATAATGCATAATAATCTCCTGGACTAATTCTACTGTCATTCATTTCAAGGCATTTACCGCGTGTGGCTAAATTCAGCTGGTGAAGGCACCGTGGTGGAATGGTAGAACAAGCAGTGGTTTGGCATTGGCATTAGTAAATTTTAATCACCGCATCCATGGCGGTGCACCATTTTGGTGAATTTAGCAACACGCGGAATATGTATAGTTTGACAAATATTTGACAACAAAATTCATATAATAGGACAAGAGCTAATGTGATGCTGTCCCACTTACTTTTGGTGACGATGGTACATTGTATTTTTTCAATCGTGTTCATTAGAAAGAGATAAATAACAAACAGCTGGTGATTGGCTGTTGCAATCCATTGTGCAATCCAAGGAGAATACACAATAACACAATACACACTCCAATGCCTCATCCTGACTTGCGCGAAATTCGCTCTTTTTAGTCTTTTTTGACATTCCCTGCGTTTTTATTCTGATCAAATTTCACCGATGGATCCACCATTCTATGTCCGTCATTGTCATTTTCCATTCACTAAACGAAGATAGCTGATTCATCGGTGCAGTGGCGTACGTAGTGACGATGCTCCGGGCCCGTGTTCAAAAATTTTACCGGGCCCCTACTCCTGCGAGATAAAAAAATTGAAAAATCAAAGAAATATATATATTTTTTTCTAAATATGCAGGGTGAAGTAAGTATGGAACATATTCAATATAAAATAAATGAAGGCGTTTTGGAAAAACCGCTCGGACACGTCGATTTTGTTTTTTTGCTTGAGATTTTTTCACACCAATTCTTTTATAGAGGTGGTTCCAAGAACAGCTGTACCGTAGGTACCGTTATCAACTTTATTTTTTCAAATCGTACATTCTGTATATCACGATATTTTTTGATTCTGCGGAAAATTCTAGACACATTTCATGTGCAATGTCATGCCACAAATACCCTAAGGGCCGGTTTCTCAATAGCAAGTCACCCCTGGGTTAGGCATTACTCCAGGGTAAACATTGCAACTTCTTATGCTTACCCTAGAGTTAAAACCAACCCGGAGGTGACTCGCTATTGAGAAACCGGCCCTTCAAATTAAAGCTTAAAGCCTAGTACTCATAACCGCCAAATTCGCTCTTTTTTGACATTACTTCGAAAATTTGACGTTTGATTCACGCATAAAACGTCAAATTGTCGAAGCAATGTCAAAAAAGAGCGAATTTCGCTGTTATGAGTACTAGACTTAACTCACCTAATTAGAGGGCAGCACAATAAACCACAACCAATGAACTATAGTCAAAAACTGGAATGCGCACACATTGCCATATCTACCAAAAAAATGTAGCCATGAAAGACAGATGCCACAAAGGGAATGTTGTTTTTTTCTGTTGCTCGCTGACATATGACGTTTTCGAAAGTTTTGTCATATTTACCTTCACAGGTTTCATCAATTGGAATACGTGTTGGAAGCAATTTCCGCCATTTAACATAATGAGTGCGACAAAAACAGGTATCCCCTCCGCAGCAGCGGCACTAGGCTTCACGTTCGTCAATATGTGTTCGCATTCCAGTTTTTGGTTATAGTTCATTGACCACAACGCAGGAATTGCAGGATCTTGAGTTGACATACTTGGCAATCCTGGGTTGCGTTCAAGGACGGCAATGCTAATCCAAAACCTACTTTTCCCCCTCCACCTGTAATGCCGAACCACGTAGGTTGGAGCCGAAATCGAACGCAAAATGCCAATTTTGGCTTGGCTGTAGTCATTCCTGAACGCAGCCCACAGGCATACTATGAAGTGGTTCGGCCGTACGATACGCGACAAGCGGTAAACTCGAAAAGTTTTCATAAAAGAATAAAAGAAATCATTACAAATCTACATAAGATTGTAAGAAATGAAGACTTTACCTACATAGATATAGATATTTTTTATATAAATTAGCGTCAAATGTGTAAAATAGATTTTTTCTACAACTGTCAAAAAATGATGATGTTGCACACTCATGACAGTTTGCGAAGTGGCACTTTTTTTCCCAGGTATTGATTTTTTAACGTTCCCATGACGCCGTGCGCGAACTAGCTATTTCGCACACTGGGTGTCATGGTGACACATACCTGTCAGGAAATCAAAAATAATTAAAATTCACCTACCTTTGATTGAAAATGCAATTTTGGCTTCGAATGATTGATATTTAAATGGAGTTGTAGATAAAATATTGTTTGTATCAAGGGCGCGAAATGCTACTTTGGTGATCTCTACTATTTTTTTAACTCGGCTGCGCCTCGTTAAAAAAATCAGATCTCGATCACCAAAATAGCATTTCGCGCCCTTGATACAAAAATAACTATTTTTTTTTTACTAACTGGAAAAAATAATATTGACATCTAGAACCGGGCTCCTGTTCCATGGAACACGCGGAACACCGGTGACTACGCCCCTGCATCAGTGAAGAGACCGATTAGGATAAAAACGAGGGGATATCTTCGACAATTTGACGTTTCATGCGTGTATCAAACGTCAATTTGTCGATGCAATGTCAAAAAAGAGCGAATTTCGCGCAAGTGTGAATGGGGCATAAGGAGTGCTTATCAGCCTTGTTTTTGGTAATCGCCGCTATTTTGGTGTGATACCATTTCCGACGCCATGCCCATAACTAAGTCATCAACTGTTTAGGCAGCCTACGACAAGGCAAGAAATGAGTGAAATGACATTATGTCTACGTCACAACTGGTATTTTGGCGTAGGGGGATTTGTTACACACAGGCCTTATGAGAATAGGGGAATAGGCCATCCTGTAATATGTCTATGATCCTGTAGTAGCAGTGAGTGTGTGTCCTTGGATGGAATCAGCGTTTCTAAAATGGCCTCTTAACAATCTTGACCCGTGACGTGAAATAAATAATTCTCTTCTAAAAAGTTGGGCGCTTAGTCTTTGCTATGCCACGAGTTATGACATGGCTCTCGTGGACTCGTGCTGGGACGAATTTAATTTAATTTTTTCGGTTAATAAATACCAAAAATGCCCACAAAATGCTCACATCTTGCCAATGCTCCCATTTTTACCCCCAGATCTATAAAATGCTCACAAATGCTCACACATTGGTAACACTGAAAACCAGATTAGGACTTCTTTTTTATATACAAATTTTTGAACTAGAGCGAAATTAAACTCCCAAGTCCATACAGTGCATTCGGTTGAGCTAAAACGATTGAGAAAACAAGCTTTGGGACCACCTATAATTTATATGCAGGGTGTCCCACGACGTTCAACCCAGGTGATAGACTTTGGTGATAAGTTCGGAACGCATCATAAATAATTGAGATTTTGAGGATGTGGGTAACTTTTTGTGCCGCTTCTATTCGTGTCAATAAATTACAAAATCGGCAAGGCCATATTTGTTAAGACTTTGATGAACAAAAGGATAAAAAATTACAAAGTGGAACATTCAATGACGCGTTCCGAAGCTATATCACCTGGGTAAAATCTCGTCGGACACCCTGTATATATATATCTTTAGGTATCAACAACGTTACGTATGATTTATGGCTATGCTATAACTTTAAAACAGGTGTTTCAAGTTTCAACTCGGGACCGTAAGCGGGTCCCGAGATTCCCGAGTCGGGACGGAACACCAGTCCAGTGGCGACGCTAGGGTGTTACATTAGGGGGGGCCAGACTGGGCCAGAAAAATTTAGGGGGGGCACTTGTTTTTACTTTATTGCTTTTTTTTTGGAATAAAAAATGGGAAGTCACACTAATATGTTTAGGGGAATCCCAAGAAAACTTGACCTTATAGGACTGCCTAGCCTATTGAGCTGAAAGTGTCTACCATTTCAGCCGCAGGGCGCAGACCTCAACTTTCGGCGTAAAATGCATTAACTGAACCTGAATCGCAAACATCCCATCGAGGCCTGCGGGTGACGTCACCACTATACTTTAGCCTAGTACTCATAACCGCGAAATTCGCTGTTTTTTGACATTGCATTGACTATTTGACGTTTTATGCGTGAATTAAACGTCAAATCGTCGAAGCAACGTCAAAAAAGAGCGAATTTCGCGGTTATGAGTACTAAGCTTTAAGCTGCTGATAGTGGTAACGTCACTCGCAGGCCCTGCGGACTCGAGATATGGCGAACGTAGGTACGCCTAAGGGAGGATTTTCATGCATCCGTTTTTCCGTCGAAATATGTCCGTTTAACATTCTATTTTGACATATTTATATACGATTATGTCAGAATAGAATGTTAAACGGACATATTTCGACGGAAAAACGGATGCATGAAAATCCTCCCTAAGGGTGGATTTTCATGCATCCGTTTGTCCGACGAAATATGTCCGTTAAATCTTCTATTTTGACATATTTTCATGCGATTATGTCAGAATAGAATGTTAAACGGACATATTTCGATGGAAAAACGGATGCATGAAAATCCACCCTAACTTACTTTTCATGCATCCGTTTTTCCGTCAATCCGATGATCTGGAATATTGGTCCAATATTTTGGCGCCAACCTATTGGACCAATAGAAATACTTCCGGATCATAGAATTGACAGAAAAACGGATGCATGAAAAGTAATCCTGAGGCGGGATTGTGTAACGGATAGAAATCCTTATCCCTTTTGCTATGGCACTTGCTGTCTTCTTCTCTCTTTTCGAAATCAATAGAGAGGGGACGTCAATAGCGAAAATATCTCTATTCGTTACAGAATTCCTCATCTGTTAGTTTTCGATTCTTGGGGGAATCCCAGGAAAGCGAAAATACCGTCGCGATTACCTGTGCCCACCGAATATCGAATTAACCGGCACAGGCTACTGATGTTGCATTGCATTGTTGCCGGCATGAGAGCAAGTTTTTAGGGGGGGCCAGCTAAATTTCAGGGGGGGCCCGGGCCCCCTCTGGCCCCCCCCTGGCGTCGCCACTGCACCAGTCCCGACTACTACTACTACTGATGAGGTCATTCGGGACTGGATATGGATCCTGAGTCGGGACTCTAGTCACAGCGTTCTTTTTGCATATTATAAATAAATAATAAAAAAAAGTACCTATTATGTAGTTTTTATGTTTTATGATAATATTATGGCATGCTAGGTATCCTGTAGTAGTAGTGTGTATTATCCTCGCGTCGCATTATATTTTTTGATGTCTACTGTTTGTTTCGTTTCTATGTTTTGTTTCAACACATTCACTGACACCTGATTTTGTTGACATATTTTTAACGGGCATTAGCGTCATTTCCCGCCAACGTCTTAATGCGAATGCGAGCGCTGACGTTATATGACGCATTTCCTTTTTTTGGCCCTGGTCTACGGTCTACTAGGGTCCTGACGGAGCTAGGGTTGTATGCCGTCAATTTAGCGTATATTTGGTGTTACGGTGCCGTATTGGAAACCCGAAAATATATATTTAGAATGGATAATATAATTAACGTCCCCGAAACCACCCGAGACACAGGTTAATACATGCAGCATATCAAGGTGTCTTTCTGAGCGTACACCCATATTTTTGGTGCCGTTTCCGACATAGTGGCTATGACGGTAAATGCCGCGGGTGTCGTTGAATGTGTTTTAATATCTTTCTAAGTGATAGGTAAGGTTTAGGTTCTTACTTGTTGATTTTACTTTGTCTTTTAATTGGGCAATAATTGCTCGTTAATAAATATACATAGTGTCCCAGGGAAAACAGTCCACCCCGATTTATTGGATTTGGGATGAGAATCTGGGAAAACGCTTTGACACGTCGATGTTTGATTTGAGGGGGAACTATTTTTCAGTTTTTTTCATCCCGGTAGCTTCAACCCCCTAGCTAGGGGGAGAACAACCCTCCGAATTTGAATATGGAATAGGGGTTGTGTCATATCTCTTTTTGATGGTCTCGTGGAGTTCTCTATGGCCCTAGAATTTCATCTCATTATTTTCATCCGTAACGAAATGACAGCTTGTCAAAATCTTGGAAATACACTATTAGTTCTTGTGGGAGTAAAAGCGATACTTACCTCCCTTAATAAAAATACTTGAAATTGAAGTTTTTTATTATTATTAATGAGGTTTACACGAGAATTGCAAATTGTAAGTATTTTCACTCGTATTTTCATTAATGGAGGTAAATACCGCTCTTTCTCCCACTAAAACAATAGTCTATTTCCATGATTTTGACAAGCTGTCATTTCGTTACGGATGAAAATAATGAGACGAAATTCCAGGGCCATAAAGAACTCGACGTAACCTTCAAAAAGAGATATGACACAACCCCTATTCCATATTCAAATTTGGAGGGTTGTTCTCCCCCTAGCTAGGGGGTTGAAGCTACGGGGATGAAAAAAACTGAAAAATAGTTCCCCCTCAAATCAAACATCGACGTGTCCGAGCGTTTTCCCAGATTCTCATCCCAAATCCAATAAATCGGGGTGGACTGTTTTCCCTGGGACACCCTGTATAAATTTCAATTAAAATAAACCTCCATCCACAAAAAAGAAGTAAATAAACAATAATATTTTAATTAGGTAACGGCCCAATTAAGGACCGATTGAGAAGTGTTTTCTCTCTGCAAGACCATCCGTGGACGCGTTTCGCTGTATCACAGTTCATCAGCACGGTTAGGTTCCGCAGAGAGAAAACACAACCCATTTTTGGTTCCTTCCCGGAACTGGGTTTGATACAAGTGAGATGAAGACGGAGTCTCTGTTGATTTGCTCCAATTTAATACTAGTTTTATACAGTTGTTGGTTGCAATTTTTAGTGTGCCGATCAGAAAATAGATGGAGACTCTGTCTTCATCTCACTTGAATAATTTTTTATTTAAAAATTATGACAAAAGGCCTATTATAGGAAAAGAAATCTGTGTGCCATCATGATGCTATAACACTTTTATCAAATACATAATACAAAATCAACTTAGTGTACCAGCAAAAGGAAAAGTTCTTAGGTTACTTAAAAATTGGCTCAATAGCTCTTAGAAAGTCATCCTCAAATTTTTTACAACTAAACCTATCACAGCTCGCTCTGGCCCTCTCTCTAATTTCATTTATTTCTTGACTTCTGGCTTGTATTATCCATTTGAGCAAAATGGCAAACTCTTCGGCGGTGTTGGCCAAAAATCCTAATCTGGAACCTTCCGAAGTTTCGATTATGTCTAGCAGTGGCCCTCCGGATTTATGGGCGACCATAATCAAACCTGAAAATTATTTTGTTGAAATTGAAGTTGGAGTATTTTCATTTACTTATAGAATAGTATAACAGTGGTGTATCAAAAAAATCAAATCAAATCGATAAAAAATTACACCATACAAATATGTTTAATTTTCTTCAAATGTGGTTGTTTCAAGGTTAATGTATTGAAAACTGATATTTCAGATATTCTAAAACCGAAGGTAATTTAAAATTAGACATAGGTATACTCTCTTCCATCAAACTTCAAGTTTCTATTTACCTGCTGCCATTTGTTCAACAACACTGATACCAAAATGCTCGTCCAACATTGTATGAATCCCAATATAAGCCTTACTAAATTCTTCCAATAAATCATTATAGGAAATATTAACTTTAAATTCGACATTATTTTCCAAAGATAAATGCTTGGAAAGATCCTGCAAGTCTTTAACTCTTTCAGAATCTCCCTGGTTTCTGCAACTTCCGCACAAAACCAACGTGACATTTTCGAAAACATGTTCAGGAATAATTTCTCTGAGTTCATAAAATGCTTGCAGTTGAAGCGGGTGATCTTTTTCGGGTCTGAATTGGGCCAAACTTAAAATTCGTATTTCGGAAGGTCTGTTTGAATCGTGAGTGATTTTTTTTAGGTGGTCTACTTCACAAGGTGGATATACCAGGGACATGGGGGTGGTCCATAATATTTGTAAGTTTTCTAATGTGAATGTTGAGTTTACTATTGTTGCGTCTGAACATTGGCCTGCTAAACTGTACATCTGAAAAAGTAAATGAAAAATAATTAAAATCTAAAGTAATTTTTTGAAAAAGTGATAAATAAAAAACCTATACACAATTGTTGCTCATTTTATTTTAATAATGTGAGGTAAGATTAGTACATGAACTTATGGTTTTGGACTAATTGTTGTTCAAAGGAGTTCGCTTTACAAGTTTGTTATTTTTATCAAAAAGATTAATAATATCTTTGAAATATCATTACCTGACCCTGATAAAAATTTCGAAACTGAAGAATGTTCCGGAAATCAATATTATTGTGAAGAAATAAATTTTCAAGAAAATCAAGTCGAAACTGAAGACGAAAATTTTCAGTTACCAGCCTTGGATGCAATGAGTCAGCAATAACTTTAAATACTTATCAAATCAACCAACTACCTTTTATTCAAATAGACTATCCACCGTGTAAATTATTAATTGACACAGGAAGTCATGCTTCTTTAATAAGACCCTCAATCGCAGAAGAATATTTTTCAAATTCAATAATGGGGTAGTATACAAATTAGTATTCATTTTCCACTAGCAGTAGGTACCAGAGTAGGTAGTGAAAAAAATCTATATATTCCTCGGTAGAGAAAGTCATTATATACCTCACGCATGATAAACCTCAACTATTTTAGGGGAGCCCTAACGATAAATATTCCCTAAAATGACATTTTTTCATGGAGAAATGCCAGTTTAAGGCATACCTATTGTTACAGTGCCTCTATACAAGACAGTGGCGACAATAGAGGGACTCATTTTTGATTGGCTACAGAATATCCGCATTAAAGTTATTTGTGTTTACCATTTGATTCTATGGATATTTAAGCAATTTTGTGTTAATATATTTTTGTTTTTGTTATTTGTGCCTGTTATTGACTATTTTGTGATAAAAAAATTAGAACAGAAAGAAAATATTATTGAATGAGTTCGACAAAACATGGCGGGTGGGCGGAGCTTAGGCACTATTGTCGCCACTGTCTTGTATAGAGTCACTGTACCTATTGTTAGGGCTTTCCTAAAATAGTTGGTGGAAATGGCCATTAGAAAAATTAAGAAGAAAACGAAAATTCAAGATCCGGGAATAGACAAAATATGAGATGGAAAAATTGAAAAATAAAGAATAAATAAATAGGTATATACTTAGATAATAATAATATTAATAATAATACCTGAGTAATCAAAAAATTTGCAAAAATATGGCGGCAGGGGCGTGGCTAACTTCTATATTCATATTCAAAATTTGCAAGAATATGGCGGCGGTACCGAATTTCTATTTGAAAATGTTGTCACTGTAGGTGGGCCAGGGCCATTGGAAAGGGTTGAAAAAGAAACAACCAATCAAATACCTTGACGATACATAAACCCCGGAAAGGGGCGGGGCTCAACTAACCAATCGAATGCCCTGCTGATATCACTCGCATTTGATTGGAAAGGGGCGGGGCTTATATTCAACCTATCAAATGCTTTGTTGATATCTTGATAACGAGTCAGCCACAGTCTTGCCAGCTTGACGGAATTATGCCCTTTTTGACTTTTTGAGAAAATTTTCTATTTTCGTTGGCAAATGGTAGAAGCAGAAATAGCGGAATTTTAAAAGTCTGTTTTTTTTTTAAGATAAAAGTCAAAATGACATAAGAGAGATATCGGTAACTCAAATAGTGTCATGCAGTATTAGCGCCTACGTTATTTTGACATTAGAGAGTTATTGGACGTGCAATAAGGACAAGCAGTATTTAAATTAGCCTTATTTTGACATCTGCGCATGCGCATTTGGGTCCACAAATAAAGATTCTATAATAAGGTTACTGCTTGTCTTTATTTGTGTATGGTTAGTGCGGGGCAGTAAATTTCCCTTATTTCAAATTTCTGACATTTTGGACGACTTTGACGTTTTGCTTTTCGACGATGACGTAATTTTAAATAGAAAATTTATTTTTTACAATAGTTTTCCATTTTACTGTGGGTTACATCAAAAAATAAGTATCAGCAGAAAATCACAAACAAAAATAAACACTTTTTGAGGCTGAAATTTATAAACATAGCTATCATCTGTCAAAATTATGAATACAAAATAAGGTAATACTCTAGCACCTACTACAGTCTTCCAATAACTGTTTTTTTCTTGGAAAAATAGTGCTGATGCACTAATAAAATAACGTAGATCCTTAATACTGCGAGGTAGTATTTATTAGTTCCAATAACTCTCTATTAAACCTATGCGCGATTCGATTTTTAACACTACGTAGGTACTAAAATAACGTTACCGCATAACGTAATTTACCCAGCATTTACGTTAAGCGCTATTTCGAATAACGCCGTGGAATAATATAAGTTATGTTCTGTTTATTGTTTATTTTATTATTTTTGTTGTGTTCCAGTGAATATGGATTGTTCAAAAAATAGTAAAAAAGCAAATCCTCTGTCCCTGGCCATGAACAATAGACAACACAAATCAAATCACAACAAGGTACAAGTTAGGCTACGGTTATAAAATAACGGATGCGAACAGGCAAATTTTACGTAAAACTGTTTTCCGATAACTCTAATTGGAAAGTATGATACCGCTTTACTTTAAAAAAATAACTCCTCACAGTCCTCACGTTATTAGCGTCCATACGCGCTATCTGGTTCACCGATATCTCTCTATTATGTTGGCAAAACAATGTTAAATTATCGATGCTTTCAAATTTTTTATTTAGAGAAGGCTTGTGTTGCCAACATAGTTACTAAATTTTTGACTTGGGGAATTATCTTTAAAAAAAAAAAGAATTTACTTTTTCTTTTATTTAGTCGCAAAATTTTCATATTCAATGAAAAATTGGTAGTTTTAAGTTTCTAGCACACGATATACAATAGGTATACAGGGTGGGCCATTGAACTTAAGACATTATTGAACTTTTTTTTTTCAGAAACGCGCCATTTTCGAGATTTTGAAATGTTTTAATTTAAATGGACCACCCTGTATAAGTATGGGTACATCAACATCTCTCATTCCCGACTGTAAGTAAAGGCGCAATAATTGTTTTTTTTTCCACTACCGCGCGTAAAGTACTTACGTTACCCACCTTTTAGAAGAAAATGTCACACACCAATAATGAATAATGACTATTTTTCAGGTAAGTAGTAAAAAAAATAGTACACAAACCTCGGAGGAAAGTTTTCATTTCTGTCTCGAGATTAATAGTCAATCTCGACGCTTCGCGTCTCGATTAACTATATAAATCTCTCAACAGAAATGAAACACTTCCCTACTCGGTATGTAATATACTATTCTCAACTTACCATTTAACGCTGCAAAATGACGATATTTTGTGTCATCTGGCGAAAAAAAAATTACGTAGCTTTTATGCGACGTTCTATGTTTTTTATTGTTATGAAACTATGTCAGGGAAGTACTGAAAAATATCGTATCCAGAATTCATAACAATCGGATATCAATTAACAAAGTTATGGACTAGTTTTCAAAAAAAATTATTTCAATGGAAATTTCCCTTGTGCATATTTAACTGGAAATTTACCTCGTAATTTTCAAAAATTGACAAGTGGAAATATCCCTGGTGAGAGGGATATTTCCGGGTGCAATTTCCAATGCGACAATGCCGCGCGGCGTCCGTTGGAAACCCACCTTTAGGTTGCCATTTTTGGCATTGAGACCAGCTTTCCCATTTAAAATGCATTGATGTCAGAAATCTGACAAAGTGTATATTTTTTGACAAACGCAATTTAAATGGGAAATATCAATAACAATCACCATCACAGAACACATCATCATAATTAAAATATTCGCCACAACTTATAGTAAATAAACTTCAAACTCGGGAAATTTCCTACCAAAATATAACACGTGCATAAAATATTTCCTAAGGGAAATTTTTAAAAATTTGGTCTTTAGTCAATTTTTTTAAACAAAACCATTCGTGCATAGCGCCAAAGAAAAAATCCCTCACCCTTCGGGTTCGGGATTTTTTCAGGCGCTATGCACTCATGATTTTGTTAAAAAATTGGCTTCAGACAAAATTTTCAAAAATTTCCGGAAATATTTTATGCACTAGTTATATTTCTACTGGAAATTTCCCTTGTGCATATTTAACTGGAAATTTACCTCGTAATTTTCAAAAATTGACAAGTGGAAATATCCCTGGTGAGAGAGATATTTCCGGGTGCAATTTCCAATGCGACGATGCCGCGCGGCGTTTGTCGGAAACCCACCTTTAAGTTGTCATTTTTGGCATTGAGACCAGCTTTTCCATTTAAAACGCATTGAAGTCAGAAATCTGTCAAAGTGTATATTTTTTGACAAACGCAATTTAAATAGGAAAGATCAATAACAATCACCATCACAGAACACATCACCATAATTAAAATATTCGACACAACTTATAGTAGATAAACTTTAAACTCGGGAAATTTCCATGGAAATCTATGTATTTTTTTTTTTTTTCAATTAAACGTTTTTTTTTCTATGGAATTCAGCATAATTTCAATAAAATTTTGCATATTTTTTACGGAATTTCATCTAATTTTACTGAAATTTCGCATAATTTCTATAAATTTTCGCATATAATTTCTATAGAATTTTTCAACATTCCTATAGAATTCCATGTAATTTTTCTAAAATTAACTATTTTTTCTTTGGAATTCCACGTCATTACTTCTTTAATTTCATTTGAATTCCGCATAATTTTGATGAAATTTAACATAGGTACCTATTTAAAATTCTATGTAATTTCAATGGAATTCCGTGTAAATTTTAGGGAATTCTGCATAATTTTTATGGAATTCCGTATAATTTCTATATAAATTCTATAATAAATAATAAACGAGGTTTAACAAGTTCAAAAGCCACAAAAGCATTTTCGATAAAATAACGAAAACTCGTTTCAACATCGTTGGTCAAAACTCGATAAATTAAATTTTTGATTGAATTTTTTTTTTCAATTTCACGGGAATTCAAGCAACTTTGAAGAAATTTCTGGAATTTCACATTTTTTTTTTTTTA